ATATATATATTAAGAAGAAATCCTTTCACTCCAGGGTAAGTCTACATAGATTTATTTCGTTCAATAACTCATATTCTATATTAAATTTCAACGATTCAATCATTCAATTTAAATTTTTTAATGCATAGATCAAATTTACAAAATTTTAAAAATTTTGAAAATCATTTGATATTTCGTTTCATTAATTCGAATCAATGTATAAAATAATTTTATGATTATCCATCAATTTAAATTAATGAAATGAAGTATCAAATAATTTTCAAATTTTTTAAAAATTTGTAGAATTGATCTACACATTAAGAACTTTAAATTGAACAGTTGAATCGTTAAAATTTGATGTAGAACATAAATTATTAAACAGAGTAAGTATAGGTAGACTTACTCCTAGAGTAAAAGGATATCTCTTTATATATATTAAGCAATCTCATAAATACTATGATTAAAGATCTCTAATGATTAATAATCAAGCAACTAGCAACACTTATTTTTTAAAAATTAAATTAATCACTTCTAAAATTTCAAATTAAATTTATAATATTTATAATATTTATTTTAACAATTATTCTTTAAAATATAATTAATTAAATTCTTGATCAACAAGCAATAAGTTTATGTGATATATGCCATTTTTTTCTTCTTATAAAGCTTGTGTATATATATACAAATCATGTATAAATTCTTTGATAAATTAAAATTTCACCTTAATAGAAAATGTAATAAAAATTGCATTAGATATTAGAATAAATTATTAATTAAATTATAACTCTAATTGAAAATAATATATATATATATATATATCTAAATTCTGTGCTAAAAAATTATCTAAGATGGGTAAATTTCAACATACCAAAGATGTATTCTTTCCCCAAATTAAATTGTATCTTAAAAAAAATTCCGTGGTCTAAAAAAAATAATTGAATACTTTCTGACTTTACGAGGGCAATTAACCACGATATGGAGCATGCGCAACCCACAGCTATTATAAATTATAATAAAAAGCAAGTGTCTTGTTTCTTTTGTCCAACATATTGTTAATAGTTAATTCACAATGACATCACAAGGAAGGAAAACAATGCATATTGCATTAGACAGCTAAAATAAATTACTACTTGTACTATCCGTGCCGCGAGCCGAGCTCCCAGCTCGGCATCACCACACATGACGATCTCGGATATGCACTACGTGACGTCAGTTCGTCACTTAACCAGATCATAATTGATATGAGGAGATCTCGGTCTAGATGAGATCTGATATCTAGTTAAATCACAACTGATCTCAGGTCCAAGGCTTAATACAACCCCAATTCACAACAAGGTACGTGCATTATATATACGAGACTTATACACACACAAACCCTAATTTTAACATCGGAGTTTCTTTTGCAGGTATCACCCCCATTTTAGAGCATCAAGCGTACCAGTGAAGGAGGCTCACCAACCTTACTCGACAGATCATCTCTACAGAAGATCTCCGGTAAGAACACTACTACTATAATTCTATAAAGTATAAATAGACAATACATATATTTTTATCAAAATTAAAAATGATATTATAATTTTTAATAATGAATAACAAACCTCAATTGATAACGTTGTGCAAAAGTACTGATGTGTTCGTATTCAAACACGCAATCCTATTATTTGTAGAAAGAGAGCTTCAGAATTTTGAATGGCATTATTGGTTAGTATGGAAAACTTTGATGTCGAATATACGAATGAGTAGTTGGAGTGATTGATTTTCCTCCAACTCTTTTTTATTGTTAGACTTTTCACTAATTAATTTATTGAAACAAATGTACTTCCGGTATTGGCGCAAATTCTTTTCCTACTAAATAACAATACGTTTTAAATTATAACTATTTTAAAACAGAATCATAAAATACGAATTAGTGCCACCACCCATTTAAGTCAAAGGTTGTAATAAATAAAATACTAATAAATTAGGTTGATGTAGTTATGAGAATTAAAACTATATATATAAAGTCCAAAATTTGAATTTTATTATTGTTTTATAATTTTAACAAATAATAAAATAAAATATTCTTCAATTCAACGATGTATACTTAATTTTATGTTTACCTTCTTTCAATTTAAAAGGTTTATTTTAGGAAATAAAATATAAAATAATAATCAATAATTTTTAAAATTGCAGAAAATACATTAGATATAATAAATTATAAAACTTTTACAAATATTTTAATAATTTTCTAATAAATTATTATAAAATTTAATGATAATGTACTAACATTGTAAAATAATTTTATACTGTCAACTAATTAAATATTATTAATATATATAACTTTCTACCTATTTATTATAAAATCAATAATTTATCATATATAATAATTTGTGCTTAGATCAATGTATTTACCTATTTTTTAATTGTTATAATCTTATATATTTTTATAATTTTATTTTTAGTTTACATGAGTCACATCTTAATCTTAAATTATATACATTAACGTACTTATATGAATAAAAAAAAAATTAGTATACTAATGAAAAAAGTGTTAGTATGACTGTATGAGTAAATAAGACTTTTGAAGCACGTGTACTTCAAATATATATATATATATATAGAGAGAATGTGTGAAATCTATGTAATTTTACTAAGTATTACATCATTCAATAACTTTATATTAAATGTAAATTTTGTAAATCTAACCGTTAGATTGAAAGTTCTTTACTCTTATATCATATATACAAAATTTTATATTAATCCAAGATGAATTGATATTTCATTCTTATAAAACAAAATTGAAATAATATATGTGTGAGACCCCTTTCTCCTTTTCTTTTCTCTCTTCACTCTCACTCACGCGGGCGCTCTCTTTTTCTCTCATTCTCTACTCACTCCCTTGTTTCCTTTTCTTGCTGACTCAAGGTGGTGGTGAGGAGTAGTTTTGGATTTCTAGCTGTATGTTCAGAGCCTTCTTTTTTTTCCTCTTGCGGTTGTTCGAGCTCTTTTCATCTTCCTTTCCGTTCTCCGCGGTCCAGAAGCTCGGGTTGTCGTACCGAGGTAAGGGAAGCTAGGATTTCTTGCCGGTTGTGTGTTTTTAGTGAGCTAGGACTCACGAATTGCTGAGAGTTTTGCAAGTTTTGAGCTGTTTTGGATGAAAACTCATTTTTTTCGGGGTTTCGGGGTTTTGATGAAAATTTGAGTTTTTGCTTGTTTGATGGTTGCATGCTAAAAAGGAGATGTTTTTCGTGATGTTTGATGAAAATGTAGACTTTTGGATGGATTGCATGCTAGTTTTCTGATTGATTTTGCAGGACTTGGTGAAATTTTCGAACTTGGTGGGTTGCTACTGGGTATCACGCCGGGCGCAGTTCTTCACGCCGGGCGCGTTGGTCTCTGCCTCCTATCACGCCGGGCGCAATAAGAATTGTGTCGGGCGCGATGATCCCTGGTGTCTTCTGGTTGTGCCACGTCGGGCGTGACCATGAGTGCGCTGGGCGCGGATGAGATGATGACTTATGTGCTAAAATTTGCTGACAAATATAGATGTGTGCTGAACTGAGCTGAAATTGATGAATATGTCGTGTTGTTAGATGTTATTGCTGAATAAGGATGTTTAAGCTATGTTGTATGCTGATTTAAGCTGTATTTGATGATATTGTTGTGCAGTGCTGAACTGTATGCTGTTATAGCCGCTATGTCGGTGCTGTTATAGCCGCTATGTCGGTGCTGTTATAGCCACTATTGTGGTGTTGTTATAGCCGCTATGTCGGTGTTGTTATTGCTGAATGTTGTGATATTTTAAGCTGATATTGTTAAGCTGATTGATGTGCTGATAGCTGTAGCTGTTTATCATTCATATTTTATATATGTATGTTAATTGGTTTCACTAGCTTACCCTTTGTTGTTTCCATGTGGTTTGGACTACGATGATCATACTATGTATGGGAGCAGGGCATGGTTAGGTTGGTGTTTGCTGAGGAGGGTCTGCAGCTGGTAGATGGAGTTTTATTCTTTTGATGTATTTAGCTACTTAGTTTAGCATTTGCTGGTGTATTTTGTACACTCTGATTCTAGACAGATTTGGACCTTGTATATATATATATATATTCTAGATCCTATATGTATATACTTGTTCGTTTCTGTGTGGTGTTCTGGTGTGATGTGCTGTGCTATGTGTAGTGACCAAGCAGGTCGTTACAATATGCATTTCAAAATATACTAAAATATGAACACTTTAATTACCTTCAAGTTATTGTTCAATTTTATTAAAATTTGATATACACATAAAAAGTGATATGAACTTTCAATCTAACGGTTGAATTTACAAAATTCACAATTAATATAAAGTTATTGAACGGTATAATACTTAGTAAAAGCTACATTGGTGATTATAACTCTCTTCATATATATATATATATATATATATAACAAATTATGTGAGAAAGGTGTTTTTTTTTTATGTGAGAGTGAGAGATTAATTTAAGCTATTAAACTAAATCAAATGACTTAAATTAAAAATTATAAATAAATTAAGTTACCATGTATCACTACCATTTCTATCATTATCGTTATTACTATCATCATTGAAATATACCTATCACCATCACTATCATCACTAATAGCGATAACGGTAATGACGACAGTGATAATAATGATAACAACAATAATGATATTTTGTTAAGAGAAATGGGATATAGTTAAATGATAATATTTAGACTATAAATAAAAAATAATTATCAGTTATGATTAAAACTCAATTATAATTATTTCTCTTATGAGATTAATCACATTATTACTATTGTGATCATAACTACTATCATTAACATCACCACAATTCTAAAGTGTTTAATTTGATGTATTGTTACAACTACCATCGTTACCTACATATGTGTTCTCACAAATATGTTAAAAATAAAAATCACCACTCACTGTTTATTTATTTTTACTTTTAAACAAATAAAAGTATAAAGTATCATAATTTAAAAAAAATGTGAGACAAACAACAAAAATTCACCATCAACCTATCAATAATTTTGAATTTAAAAATATTTAAGATTTAAATATAAATATAGGTGTTAAAATTAAAATTATATATCTTAAAATCATGATATAAACATAAAATATTCACCATATTTATATGCATAAATAAATCTACACATAAAAAAGTAAATGATTATAAAAATTCAGGACATGATATATATCTTTTAATTATTAATTTGTTAAAATTAATATTTTTATAATATTTATTTTAAAAAGCATAATTAAAATATTAATTAATGGTATAATTAAAAATCATTAGTCTTACAATTATTAAAATTAAACTCATTCCGTGATATTAAAAATCAAGTAATAAAAGAACACGTTCTACATCAGTGACGCAGCAAAACTCAAATAATTGAATGAATAAATGTTATAGATGTTTGGACTAATTGAAAATAAAAGTAACGAAGCAAGTGTTTTCATAATACATAAGAACTTAAAAGTCAACTTGCTCGCGAGGGAGGCGCGGTTTAAAGATAAAATAGTGCAATTATTGATGATAAAATAATATATAGAAGATCTGACTTGTGCCTATAAAAAGCACTGGAAAATACGAGTTAAACACCTTTCCTGCATAGAAAAAAAAGAAGTGAAGATGTCTGGAGAAGCAGATCGAACGAGCATGGAGCTGGAAGAGGAGAAGAACCTTAAGCTGAAAGACAGAAAGGTATCATGGGCAAAGCTTCGCCGCGTAGATTCTCTCAATTTGGAAGCTGGAAGAGTTTCTATGGTTGCACACGACCCTTTCAAGGTAATGTATACACGTTAATAATTAATTAATTACCAGTTCTATACATGCTAATAATAAAAATAAATAATACAATAACAGATGAGTTGGAGGACGACGCTGACCTTGGCATTTCAAAGCATAGGGGTTGTATACGGTGATATTGGTACATCACCGCTTTATGTGTACGCCAGCACCTTCACTAAAAAAATTAACAACAACGATGACATTCTTGGTGTATTGTCTCTCATCATCTACACCATTGTGTTCATACCTTTGCTTAAATACGTCTTCATCGTATTGTGGGCCAACGACAACGGCAACGGTACGTTATTCAACCTCTGTTTTCGTTCTTTTTATTATTTACAAACCTCCATCTTTTTTTAATTATGTTTAAAAATTCTTCTATGATTTCTTAGTTTACCCTTTTCATTTTAATGATTTTTTTTAATTTTATTTTTCCCCTCTTTTTATGAGTACAATTGAAAAAATAAAACAAATATTTTGTCAACGTATTGTTGATAATTTAAGTTTAAAAAGTTAAATACATTCATAGACATGTTTACTTTTTAAATACACTCATCGTAAAATACTTAATTATTGACTTCTCGCTATATAATTATAATTCACTTCAATCACAGTATGTTTTTAAAAAAAATAGAAAATACGAACTAACTGAGTAATTGGCACTGCATGCCAGGCAATGGCAGTTAAAATTAAAAAAAATGCTTTAGTCGTTTAAAATAAACCTTTTTTTAATTTTCATATATGTTTTTTCAATTTTTAGTTCTTATAATTTAACAAATATTTTAATTTTTATACATGAAATATTTTATTTTTATCATTATTTTTTTAATATTCTTTATTTTATGTTGATGTAATAAATATTTTTAATTTTGTAAGAGAAAAAAAAATATTTGGTCAATGATTAATAATTTTTTAGGTAAAAAAAGGCGGAGTAAGTTCAAAGTTGATATTTATGACTTTTTTTTTTGATGAAGTTCATATTTTTGACTAAAAACAAGTGTAAGTTTGTCATTCTCTTTTACGGTCAAATTTAATAATTGAAACTCCCTACATCACTGTCGACATTAGTGTCAGAATAACTTGCACATTGTTTTATATTTTTATTTTTATCCAGCTCTTTACGCCGTAAATCAGTTTAGATATATTCGGTGTATATTACTGTACTTTGTTTTATTCTTTTAAATACGAAATTTTAAAATTAGTTGTATTTATTTAAATATATTTTTAGTTCTTATAAAATTAATAAATTTTGATTTTAATTTTTATAATTATTTTTTCATTTTTATAAAATTAAAATTATTATTTTTAGTTTTTATTTTTATGTAATTATTTTTAATTACTTTTTATTTATTAAAAAATTAAGTAATCATCTTAAATTTTATCTACAATTATTATTAATATTATGTCAATATTTAACACCTCTAAAAAAATTTATAATTTCTTGAAATAAATATTATTTATCTACTTTAAAATAATTATTAAAAATAAAAAATAGTTAGTTTAGATTTTAGAAAAATAAAAATAAATTCTTTTTATAAGAATTAAAATCAAAATTTAATCATTTTACATAGATAAAAATAATATTTATAAATTTTACAAAAATGAAAAATAAATATTAAAAAGACTAAAATCAAAATCATCAATTTTATACACACTCAAAACATATTTAAACTTTTACAAAATAATAAAAATAGCCGTAGCAGCAGCACTATATAATATCGATGATCAGCATCACTAATAAGTTTGTGTGTATATAATATAGGTGGGGCGTTTGCACTGTACTCGTTAATATGTAGGCATATAAAGATGAGTTTGATTCCAAATCAACAACCAGAAGACAGGGAACTTTCTAATTACAAACTTGAAACACCTTCTAGTGAGGTGAAACGAGCCCACAAAGTAAAGCAGATACTTGAGAACAGTCATTTTGCGCGGATTGCGCTTTTATTTCTAGCTGTAATGGGAACTTCCATGGTCATAGGAGATGGAATTCTTACTCCATCAATTTCAGGTTATAGTACCAATTAATTGCGTGTTTCTATTTATAATATTTGTTTCATCATTTTTCTCATCAACTAGAAGAAATTTAATCTATATTAAAAAAATGATGTAAAACAAAAATTTTGATCATATATCACGTGAATTTGAAAGGTGGCTTGACATTATTATATTGTTGAATGCATGTGCAGTCCTTTCTGCGGTGAGTGGGATCAGTACATCGTTGGGTCAAGGTACCTAAATAAATAAATGTATTATTCCCCCGCATCCCCTAATCTCAAGAGTAATAAAAATTGTTAAAAGTCGACATATGTTTTTTTTTTTTTTTTTCAGGAGCTGTTGTGGGGATCACTATAGCAATCTTGGTAGTCCTATTTTGTATGCAACGATTCGGTACTGATAAAGTGGGATTCACATTCGCTCCAATCATTTTGTTGTGGTTTTTATTCATCGGTGGAATTGGCCTTTACAATTTATTCAAATATGACATTGGAGTATTACGTGCTTTTAATCCAAAATACATATATGATTACTTCAAACGGAACGGCAAGGACGGATGGATATCGCTTGGAGGAGTCTTTTTGTGCATAACAGGTGACTAACGTAACGTACGTCTATTCTTAATTAAATTGTATCAACCTTTAATTCTAAGTAAGATATATTTAATCTTAGGATCGGAGGCCATGTTTGCTGACTTGGGTCACTTTAATGTACGAGCCATTCAAGTAAGTGAACAAATTTAATTTACCCCCGTATAACGCAGTATATACTTTCAGTTTAGAACATATGGTGAAGAATTTGTGCATAAGATTGGTTAGTATAATATGCGACCGTTCCATGAAGAACTTGTGGTCAATTCATGCATAGAAACCGTTTCGAGCTGCGCTATTGGTTGTTTAGTTGCACTTAAAATTATTGATCAACATCATCATATTATAATATGTGTTGCAGATTAGCTTTTCTTGCATTACGTGTCCTGCAATAGTGATTGCATACATAGGGCAAGCAGCATTTCTACGGAAGTTTCCGGAGAAAGTAAATAATACTTTCTATGATAGTATACCGGGTAAGTTGTTTAATTTTAAAGAGCGATCAACAAGGAGTGGAAGTTCATTTGATAAACATTAATTGTGAATAATTAACATGCAGATCCCTTATATTGGCCAACATTTGTTGTGGCTGTTGCTGCTGCCATTATAGCGAGCCAGGCAATGATTTCAGGAGCATTCTCCATTATATCCCAGGCCCTAAGTCTAGGTTGTTTCCCACGAGTTAGGGTAGTGCATACTTCCACTAAACATCAGGGTCAGGTGTATATTCCTGAGGTCAACTACATGTTCATGATCGCGTGTATTGTGGTCTGTGCTGCCTTCAAGACCACAGAGAAGATTAGCCATGCATATGGTAACAATTAATTTATGTATATTAGTTTAATTTGAGGAATTAAAAGAAAAATATGAATTAATTCTAAGCTTTATGGTATATGCAGGGATTGCAGTTATTGGTGATATGATGATCTCAACAACACTGGTTTCGCTTATTATGCTGGTTATATGGAAAAAGAGTATATGGCTCGTGGGTCTATTCTTTCTGGGATTCGGTTTCATAGAGATAGTTTATTTCTCTTCTCAACTAACCAAGTTCACAGGAGGAGGGTATCTTCCAATTGTATTAGCTCTGATATTGACGACGTTGATGGGAAGCTGGCATTATGTGCACAAAGAAAGATACATGTTTGAACTAAAGAACAAGGTTTCGGGTGCGTATTTGAACGAAGTGGCGAGCAACCCAGACGTAAGGCGGGTGCCAGGAATTGGATTTCTGTATTCTGAGCTAGTACAAGGCATTCCTCCTATTTTCCCACACCTAATAGGCAGCATACCATCTATCCATTCAGTTGTTGTGTTCGTCTCCATCAAGGCAATTCCTATCAGCAGAGTTGCATCAGAGGAGAGGTTTTTGTTTAGGCAGGTGGAGCCAAGGGAGTATAGGATTTTCCGTTGTGTTGTGAGGCATGGTTACAATGACAACGACGTTCTTGAGGATCCTGCTGAGTTTGAGTCACAGTTGATACAAAACCTCAAGGCATTCATTCAACAAGAGAACTTTATGCTGGAGACTGAGGGACCTACTGCAACTGAACAGGCACCAACTACCAGTGAGAGTGATGTGCAACTTCAAGGTAAAGAAGGAAAGGGTAGGTCTGCGTCCGCTAGCAGCAGAATAATCCCAAACCAATCTTCTTCTGTTGCTTCTCAAGCCTCTTCCGACTCCATTCGACTCCATTCGACCCAGTCATCCGCTTTCGTTGCCCCACCCTTCCAGGGAGCTGAAGAGGAAATCAAATTCATTGACAAAGCGTTGGAGAAGGGCGTCGTGTATATGCTAGCAGAAGCAGAGGTTGTAGCTCACCCAAATTCCTCCATCCTCAACAAGATTGTTGTCAACTATGTTTATAGCTTCTTGAGAAAGAACTTCAGACAAGGCCAGAATTTGATGGCAATCCCACGCAACAGACTTCTCAAGGTTGGAATGACATATGAAATATGAAAAATCCATACACCACCCTTCTCTTAATTCAATGTTCCCTAGTGTCTCTGTCAAAACTCAGCAAGGATGTATACTATATGTTAAATATGTTCTTAGCTTGAATTTTGTATATTTCACACAAAATTGTCAAAGTTTTTCATTATGGGGAAGAATCAACCCGTGTATATGCTAGCAGAAGCAGAGGTTGTAGCTCACCCAAATTCCTCCATCCTCAACAAGATTGTTGTCAACTATGTTTATAGCTTCTTGAGAAAGAACTTCAGACAAGGCCAGAATTTGATGGCAATCCCACGCAACAGACTTCTCAAGGTTGGAATGACATATGAAATATGAAAAATCCATACACCACCCTTCTCTTAATTCAATGTTCCCTAGTGTCTCTGTCAAAACTCAGCAAGGATGTATACTATATGTTAAATATGTTCTTAGCTTGAATTTTGTATATTTCACACAAAATTGTCAAAGTTTTTCATTATGGGGAAGAAAAACCCTTTGCTCCAACAGGTCTTCAAAATTTAAGCACTCCCAACATCATCGGACACACTTTCAGTTTCAGTGAAAGTGCCAACTGTGAATCATGTATATGTGTAGTGTAGTGACGGGGTTGCGTCTTTTTTCCAATATATAAATGTCAGGTTAAAAAAACCAGAACATCTCGGACTAATTTTGTGTGCTGCAGCCAACATACAGTCACATCTCAACTTCTCTTTAATTCGTTATTACACACAAATTAAAGAGTAACATATGACAAATGGTTTAGCATAACATCTTGGTACACAGGTAGGAGGGGATCTTAATAAGATGTTAAGTCTCTTTATGGTGGACATATTATAAATTTATATTTTTCTTTTTATTTTAATAATATAAGACTTTATTTGTACATTAATTTTACGGAAAGAATGACAAGTTATAATAGGATCTCATATCTATCAATAAACTAAGTTTGCAATAGGAGAGTATGTTATTTAAGAGTATGAAAATTTGCAATGAAGTTTCTTAAATTTTAAATCATTTTTAATTGGATCCTTGATCACATTTTTGTTACCAACACGTTTTGTTAACTTCATTATTTTTTTTATGTGCAACTCACTAGTTTACTAAAAATTATAATATCATTTTATTTATTGAGAATAGAGGTGTTCATGAGATGAGTTATATATATATCTAGTCCAAAAATTTAATAGATCCAATTTGTGAACTCAAACTCGATTCAATCAAGATTGAATAATATTTATGGCAAGATTGAGTCAATCCAACTTATTGCTACAATATATTAACTTAAAAACAATATATGTTAAATTGTAGAATTGAATGAATACATATATACCTTTAATTAACATATATTTTAAGATAAATAATAACGATGTAAATATTATGCTTCATTAATTAGTTAACATGATATTTATAAAATCATGAAGTTATGTATATCATTAATACATAATTATTTTTTTAAAATAATTTTAAAAGAATGTATAATATTAATAGGTTGAGATGGGTCAAAGACTTGAATCATCTTTAAAATACATCAAATTTAATCTCTTATAAACTTGATTTTGTCATTGAAAATTCTTTGGAATTGAGTTGGATTGTTAGGATGAAACTTAATTTCATTTTTAAGTCTTTTTCTTTGTTTAAATCTCAAAATTAATTAACTTTTGTAAGTAACATAATTAGTAAATTATTTTTTATATTTATAAATATTTAACTAATTAATATCAATAAATTTTTTTCTTTTATTAGGTGCAACCTTTACTAAGTGGAAAAACCAAGATTTAGGAGAGGAATACAAAAGGAGTTCATTTTGAAGGCAAAACATGAGGGAGAAGCAAGGTCAAATTTTGGATTGGCCAAGTTTTCGTGGCCTAGCCAAATTGAGGCAGCAAGCATCAAATTCCAATCAGAGTACTTTAGGTTGGGCAAAATTAATGTAGTAGTTAGGCTAAATTTCTTCAATTCAAAGAAATCTCAATTTTGCCTAGCAAAATTGTTGTGGTTGGACAATTTCTACCCATGTTATAAAAGGAAATAGATTAAATTAAATGGAGAACCAGACTCTCTCTTTGATTGTCAAACTCTACTTCATTGATGAGATTTTTATTTAGGCATACGCACCAAGTCACTATAGTATAGGAATTAAATACAGGTTGTCGAATCTTAGGGACTTGGAAGATATTTATAATTTATGATATCCTAGTAAAAGCTTGAAATAAAAAGATGTATAAATTTCATAAGCATGATGTTGTTCATATTTCAATATTGGAATTATCAAAAAGATGGCAAACAAAGTAGTAGTAATATGGGAAAATAACAATATCAAAAACTGTTGGGATTGAGTTTTACCAATTTCATCCCTATGTTCTCCTAAGATGATCTATATATGATGTCTATCATCTAATGTTATTGAGTTTATTAAGATCATTCCAAATCAATTTCTTGCACTTAGAAATTCTAAGGAGAGGAATTTATCAAATTAGAAACCTTGCATTAAGTTTAAGAACATGTTCAACCAACAACTCCAAATCTATTCCTAGTCTTTAGAATTGTTAGGTGATTTGATTTAAAACTAGATTTAGAAAATGTTTTCAAACCAAAATCCAAATCAAAGATCAAAGATGAGTGATCAGGTTCCAACCAAAATCCAAATCAAAAATCAAAGATGAGTGATTAGGTCACCTTAGCATTAAGAACAAAATTAAAATAACTAACACTGAATAATAGATTATCATATATATATATATATATAAGTCAAAAGGAGTACATAAGAGTTTGATGGATTGTTCAACCCCAACAAAAAGAAAATTTAGCCACTCATGGTAATGAGAGCTAATCCAAAATACATGGAAAAGGTGTAGAAGAAAGAAAGAAATTAAGATCCTAGAACCCCTATTCCTAGCTAATTCTTGGACTCCTTGCTTGCTCTATAATTATCACTCAAGTCTCCGTGATTCTCCTCTATTTTTCTCCTCCCAAATCCTTATATATGTGCAAAAAAATAAAACAGAGTATGGAAGAGATAGAGTAAATCACTCAATCCTTTCCAAATGGCTGAACGATTTGGAGAATTCTTCATGGTGAAGCAACTTCGATGGTCAAGCCCTTTTGAATCCGTTGAGCCCTTGGGAAACTAAAAATTTGTACCCCTCTGGAGCCAATCTACTCAACCTTTTCAAAACAACTAAGTGATTTAACCTTTGCTTCAATTCTTGCTCTCTGCCTTTGAAGGACTCAACCCCTTGAAAATGGCTCAACCATTTTAAAAGGGCCTCAACCCTTTTCCAAACACCTAATCGGATTGGAATTTTTTGGGACTTCGGATCTTCATTGAATCTTGCAAGATATAAAACAAGTCTTTAAATAAAATTCTATCAATTCTTTATAAACTAATTAATTTACATAACTCTTTTTTGAATTTTGTAATACTTTAGGGGTAAAATATAAATGTCTTTCAAAACTAGTTAGATAAGTATCAAAAGAGTTAAGTCATTTAAGTAAAATTGACACTTATCACTTATTCTACAACAAAATCATCAAGTTGTAGATCTTAGAGGCAATTTTGACGTTTGAGAATGACACAGAGAACCAGACTTTCTCTCTAATTCTCAAACTCTCCTTCACTTTACATCAAAGTCATCAAGTTATAGATCTTAGAGTGACACCAAAGTCATCAAGTTGCAAATCTTAGAGTGACACCAAAGTCTTCAAGTTGTATGATCTCTTATACTTTTGATTTTCATAGATATGTTATAATAGCTTATATTTGGAACTTTGTTTGAGAACTTGATTGGAAAATGCTTTCTAAGTCATTATTTGAAATGAATCACCTAATGGTTTAATTTGTTAGGAATAAAGCTAAAATCATTAGTCTTTAAAGGATTTCTTAATGTAAGTTCTCCTTTTTGAATATGCAAAAAATTGATACTTAAGGAGGAAAGCTTAGAAGTTAGAATCTCTTTTCTAAGGAATTAGTATTGAGTGACTCTAATCCTAAATAATATTGTAGGAGAAAGATTAACATATGCATATCTATTAAAGTTACAAGAAGGTGTAGTGAGTGAAATCCAATTCCAAGCATCTCGCATATGAAATTCTCTACTACTTATTTGCAAGTTCATCACTCGTGAAGTGTTTAACATTAATGTTTAGTTCCATCACATAGTAAAATATTTCAATTGGGTGGATATCATCGTGTTAGTATTAAAAAACAACAATGTTATTTGATAAAAAAGAAAATTTAAATACAAAAACATTCATTTTGAGAAGTGAAAGGAGTTGTTCTACTTGAGATGATATTTTTATTTATAAAAATAGTACACTATTTTCATTTTCTAGAATTCAATTTTTTATATTTTTAATTAATCATAAATTATTTTTAAATAACAATTGATTAATATAATTATTAAAAGTTATATAAAATTTATTTCCATTAGTTTATATCAGCGTAAAAAAAAATTGCATTTCCGTGTATTTTGTTTAAAAAATAAAAAAGAGATAAATGATAAAAATAATTAATGTTAAATAGGTGTGAGTAATTTTTTGGGTTCGTTTCTGGGGTATCCACTGCCAATAGCAGTGACTAATCTCCTCGCTACGAGGGAGGCACCTCAAAGGGTGAGATAGCTGGCTCCAAGATTTAACACGGCTGCATACACAAGAAAGGATTTGAACCCCTGACCTTGCTTAAGCGTGGATCAACCCCCACTACTAGAATTTCTCTTATTACATGCGACCTTTCCTGCGAATTTTTCATAAAAATTTGCAGGAAACGTTGTCCCTGCAAATTTTTCTGCGAAATTTTATTTGCAGGTAATACCTTCGTGGATAATATATTTTTGCAAATTTTAAAATTCACAGGAAATTTTTCTGCGAAATTTCTTGCGAAAAAAATTTGCAGGAAAGTTTCCTGCAAAAAAAAATTTGCAGGAAATTTTCTTGCAAAAAAAAAATTTGCAGGAAACTTTCCTGCGAATTTTTTTGCAAGAAATTCTGCAGGAATATTTTTTACGAAAAAAATTAAAAAAATTACTATAAATTCTACATTTTAAGAATTCATAATCTTTTATTTTCATGCCTCGTACATAATCTTTTAAATTCTAAGATTGTAGATTATAAGTCTAACACTCAACTATACAATTCAACTTGTAAGGTAAGTGTTACTTCAACTTATATACTCTTTAATTATTTTATTTTCAATTAATGTGGGACTTGAAGATTTTTTAAAATATTAAAATTATGAATTTAAATATTTTTTTTATTTTTCCTGCGAATTAAAATTTGCATAAAAATCCGCAGAAAAAGTTACCTGCAAAATTTTTCTATCATTTAGTAAACATTACTTGCGAATTTATTTTTGCAAGAAAATCTGCAATAAACAAAATAAAATTCTTACAATATTTTCTGCAAATTTTTACCATGGAAATTTTTTCCCCATGATTATTAATATTATAGCAAAATTTGTAAGAAATATCTATAAATTATTTTTTGTAGGAAAATTCACAAAAAAATTCTGCAAATTTTTTTTTACAGGAAAATTTGCAAAAATATTTCTGCAAATATTTTTTTGCAGGAAAATTCGCAAAAACTTTTTACGAATATTTTTTTGCAAAAAAATAACACTTTTCTAGTAGTGCCCTACCGCTGAACCACACCCTTGGGGTTAAATATGTGTGAGTGATTAACAATTAGAAAGGTGTGAAAAATTTGAAAAATAAATTTACAAGAAAATAGAGAAAAATAGAATAAAAATTTAAACTAACTAAATAAAAAAATTATTCGAGGTTACAAGAGAAAATGATGAAAAGAAATTTACACGAAAGGACATATCTATCTCTTTGTTAATTGAATAAATATAATTTTTTTAAATAAATAAAAAATGATTCAACATATTTTAATTGAAAGAAAATAAATTAAAAATTGTTTTTTTAACCAATTATGTGAATATTATCCATTCCCAATCATATTACAAGGAGAGTAGATATGAAATTAGCAGATAAAAGAGTCCAGAATGTGTCTGTCTAGCTTATCAGTTATCCATTTTACGATTAAGTATAACATGAGTCGCTCCGCATCCGCAGAAACAACCATGAAAAAAAAACAAGGGAAGCAGAGAGATACAGCTGATCTGGGTGCAAGATAACAGATAAACTATTAAAAAAAAATTGAGCTCCATTTCACGCTCCCCCGTAATGGTTGTATATCCTTTCCTCGCCTTGGCTTCAGAGGCATAATAAATGGTAAGTTTGGAATACTTATGTAATTAATTAAAGACAGAAAGACAAGGAGTGTTTGTTCGGTACCTGACAGACACGCAAAGAAAGAGCTCTTAAAATTTGAGGTGAACTTAAATCTCTAAAACAATATCTGCAGGCCAGGAAATAAAGAGTTGGTTAGTAATAGTGTGTGACAAGCCAAGTTACATTAGGTCCATGATAAAAGTGAAAATGAAGTTACATTCAGAATCAGTCTTGACCCATTTACAGCCATCATCAGTCTCAGCTCTCTCATCTGCTTCATCCTCCTTTGGCATCTTGAGGCGCTTCTTGAGGGGTAGTGCCCGAGAAGAATGTTGGGAGTTTATTTTCTTGTGAAGAATAGTCCTTAAAAGCTGTATGTATACATTATATAGTTAGCAGTTAGGTTAGGCAGAGGCACATGCATGTCATGACATGACATGAGATGATACTCTTGGAGTTGAAGGCAAATGAAATGAGCTACCTACCTTCTCCATTCTTGACTCTTGGAACTGAAGGGTGTCTCTAAGGCTAGGTGCCGGAGCAAATCCACTTCTACAAACGAACATCTTCTTCAGCAAAAACGAAATCGATTTTTTCCCAATTGCTTTCTTGCCGTTATTTGCACAAATCTCTTTGAATTTTCTAAGTATGACGCTAAGTGTCTTCTCTATGTCGTCTTCTTCTTCTTCTTCTTCTTTATCTTTGTCTTCTGAATCACTGCAAAGTACATTGCTGATTCTCCTATCAACCTCCAAGCTTGATGGACAATTGAGAAATCTGTCGAGAGGAAGCTCAGCAATTTCCTTTTCCGCATTGGGTTTTCGTCTCAACAGTTTGATTAACTCTTTTTGTAGTTTACCGATTTCTTCAGGAGTGAAGTCTGCTATTTCTTCAGACAAGGATGGATCCGCAGCCTTTTCATTGTTATTTCCAAATGTACCAATTGCTAGTAAACCATCAGGCAAATCGCTGAATTCTTCTCGACCCTCTTGTTTTCCATCATCTGCGCAGTTCCACACAACCAAAGTTAAACAAATTCAGAATATTACAAATACCCTTTGCTAAGGGGATCACGAATCAATCGATCCATGGAGGCACAGCTGAATTATAAATTATATCTTGACAAAGAGGGATAGCTTCTTTATTGATTATTATCTTAATTTTTATTTATATGATTTTAACTTAATATAATTATTTATTCATTTATATAAGACTAAATTAATATTATCTCATATATTAATTATTTTTATTAAAATATTCTTAATTAATGTGTTATTTTAATTTGATAAAATGTATTAATTATAATTTTTTTAAAAAAACATACATTTTAATCAATTAGAAAAATATGAGTATAAATTAAGAGAAATAAATAATATAAAATAAATATTTTAATTGGTTAAAAGATATATGAATATTAATTAGGAAAGAAAAATAATATTGTATAAAGATAATTTTAGAGAAAAATATAAATAAGATAAATTTATTGATATCAATTAAATTAATTATTTTTTTAATATTGGTGAATTAGATAATTGAATCTTATGTATAAGAATGAAGATAGTAATATTTATAAAAAAATAATAATTTTGTGTTATTAATTAATGATATTATTTTGAAAAAAAAAAGTGTACTCACTTTATATTTTTA